GCACTTGCTCATTCTACAAGGGTAGCTAGGGTTGTCCTGTGAGAGCTTTGTGGGGAAATCATACCCCATCTGCCCCACAGCCCTAATATTGCCCTTTCAGACTTTCTTTTGCTGCCCAAACTAAAAGAACACTGAAAAAGGACATGATTTGTGCCCCTCAAAGATGCCAAAATCGTCATTTTGATGGGGTGTAAATCAAAGAGCAGAATTATTCAGAGGAAGGGTCAGAACTGAAAACAATGCCTTCAGATGTATGGAACGTATGTGGAGAAACTACAGCTTCATATTATTACATTTGTGTTCAATTTTGTTGAGTTGCCATGTTTCTCTGGCAGTTAATTTTGACTTACCCTCATATTTGAAGTAAATTTCCAGTGGCTGCTACAAATATTTTGGGGGGAAATAGAAATGGTACAAATTATAAACAGTATTCTGACCCTACCTCCTAACCACTCTAGATATAAATATTAGATGATCAGACTATAATACTTAATATTAATTAAGTCACTGGTCCTATTTTCTCATTCATATGAGGGTATTGCAAAAAGTTCACAGAAAAATGGAATGGAAAGATCATGGATTTTTTCCATGAATATTTTAAAAGCTCCCTTAAATATCTGCTAAACTTCCTGCTCAGTAGAAATCTTTCGACTTCTTCAGTTTTTGTTTACTTATCTCCTCCTTAGTTCACTGCATTTAATTTATTCTAATTGAATGAGAAAGTCACTGGGTAAGGATTATTTTAAACAAGTCATCAGCCAATTTTTACTAGATCCATTGTTCCGTCAACTAAAGATAATCGAGCAATCATGGCCATAGCAAAGGATAACAAAACAATCATCCAAATAAATAAAAAATAGCTGTAAGTGGTAATACTAAATAGTCCCCAAGTATGGCACTAAGGAAAGCTTTGAAAGAGAAAGATCCAAGATCTCTTGGCAGCTCCAAACAATACCTCTGGGTAGTAAAGAAGATAGAAGATAGAAGAAGAAGAAGAAGAAGAAGAAGAAGAAGAACAACAACAACAACAACAACAACAAACAGTTGCAAGGGGAAAAGATTTTTGTTAAAGGTTGGCCATGCTCTTCATTCTGAGAATCTGTAATTAAGGCAAAGTACAAAAGCAAAAGACCACCGTCAGACATAATGAGCTACTCACAAATTCAATTCTTATAGTAAGACAGAAAAAAAGTTGGAGAGCCTTGAAATTTCTCCTTACCTCTGCCATCAAGCTTCCTAAGATGTATAGAGACTGACCCCACATGTGAGGCAACTTGCCCATAGGGACACGATCCACACTGTGAGGATTTTTATATTCTTCATCAACCTAAGAGAAACCATGAACAGGCCATCTGAGATAATGGAAGGTTTCATTCTGTACAATAAAAATGCTAAGTCTGGATTCTGATTTCTACTCCATAAAACAATCACATATGCAATGCAATGAAAATCCAAGCACTCTAACTATAGTCTAGGGCAGAACTTCTCAAAATGCAATGTGCATACAAATCATCTGAGGATCTTGTTCAAACGTGTATTCAGATTAAAGCAGTTCTAGGGGTGGGGCCCCAAATCTAATTTTAACACGCTCTCAGGTGATTCTGCTATTCCTGTTTCTGGTAGTTTGTTCTACCCATCTCCATCAGCAAGAAAAACTACATTTCTCCAATGCCTATAATGTTCTTTCCCATAGTGAAGAGGAACAACGGTACTTTTGACTGACATTTTGGGGGAAATGAAGGTAGTACATGCTTCATTTTCCAGATCTTATTAGACAACCCCAGATATAAGCTTCTAAGCAGGAATCCAAAATTGTGAAAACTGATACCGAATCTCACTCTAGTTCTGCCTATAGATATTTATACCATATTCAAAACCTAAACGATGGCTCTTGTCCTTTTCCAACTTTGCAATAATGTCATCATTGAGATTGTTTACATTTTTATGTTTAAATGAATAAAATAATATTTCTGCTATGCCATAATTAAAGAAAAACTTCATGAAAAATTGAAAACTATTTTACTCTAATGTGGCAATGATTTAAAACATTACATCTTTGTTTCTCAGTGCTGTCCAATATACCTTGTCAGGAGGAACACTGTAAAGCTCTGGCAGAAGTGGGACTCCATTTTTGCCCTTGATAAGAACTCCTTCAAGAGCCTCTCTATACTCTTGAACCTGCAGATAAAAGAAAGGCAGGAGAAAAAACTTATAGAGCATTCCCTTGGGAATCAAAAGAAGGTTTGTGGCCAAAGAAAGCCCTACTGCAAACGAATTTATTCACCTAGGGAAAGAAAGGGAAATAATATTTCCTAAATGCTTTCTATAGGCCAAATACCATGCTAGGACTTTTTTGGGCATACTTTAATGCATTTACTTTTAATAACTATATAAAAAGGATGTACAAATATAACTTTTTTTACAGTGAGGCTCAAAAGTGTGATAAAATAATCAAAACAATCATACAGCAAGTGGTTGAGTTCAGATTTTGGCCCAGGTCAGCCCACCTCCATAGGATTCTTTTTTTTTTCTATGTACTACTCTTTGACTTTTGATGTATTGGTTTTTGAAATCTGTATTTTTAACCTGCTGAATCCGATTTCCTATTAAAGTCAAACTCAACAATTTGTTCCAAATTAGCATACATAAAAAAATTTAAAAGCTGTAGTTAATGTTAAAAAATACAAATTCTGCTATAGCACTTGTTTTATTCCAGTACATTTAACATATTTGAGAATAATTTGAGTATAACATGACTTTCAAAATTGCTTACATACAACTTCATTCTCAGAACACATAGTGATAGTACATTGAGGGGATTGCAATGGATTAATGGAAACAAAATTTGTATGCGTTGTGGAATATAAAACTGATGATCTGCTCTGTAAATCCTCACCTAACTTACAGTAAAAATAAAAAAATATACTCCGTTCTATAAGACATATGAGGGGGTGCCCCCCCCAAAATACCTGGAATACCACCATCCCCACCCTGGCCCCAAGTTACATATTAAATTTGTTTTTTACAAAACAACCTTATTACCTTCAAAGTACTTTCCATTACACTTAATACATTTGTCAAATCTGTGATTTAATTCTTGGAAACATTTTTCAAACTCATCTATTTGGATGGTTGACGGTGCCTACCTCGTTTTTTTCTTCACCTTGTCTACATTGTCAAACTACTGTTCTTTCATGCTCATCTGCATTCATGGAAACAAAAACAAGTCGCACAGAGCAAGGTCTGGTGATTAAGGTGCGTGGGACAAGAGAGGCATGATGGGTTTTTTATCAAACACTGGTGCACTGAGATGGCTGCATGAGCAGGTGCATTGTTGTGGTGGCAAAACAAATCCCCCATCTGCCACAAATCAGGCCTTTTTTGTCTCACATTGTTACACAATCTTTTCAGAACCTCAATATAAATCTTGATTAACAGTCTGACTTGGTGGAACAAACTGCAAATGCACTATGAGTCAACATTTTTGTCTATTCAGGAAGTTGATGGATGTCCAGAACCAGGTTTGTCATCAATTGACATCGCACCTTTTTTGAAATGAGAAAAACTCGTACACTGGAGTGTTTCCCATAGCACTGTCCTTATAAGCTGTGTTCAACATCACAACAGTTTCTTCACAATTTTTTCCTGAGCAGAAAACAAAATTTCACAGCTGCACACTGTTCTCTTAATTCGGCCATCACACACACAAACAAAATGAGCTTCAAGTGAAACTGCTTTCACGAAAAAATTTACTGTGACCTGAGAGAACCTTCCCTAGTGACACCACTGTGTGCATTAACTCAGAGCAAGTTGCTCAATGCTTGCCTAGCAAGAAAAATGCACAGTATGAAAGCTCCACTTAGCGGAGCTTTTTTTTTTTTTTTTTTTTTCCATTTTTTGAGTGGTATACCCTTGTATACACACCTCACGAGGAGAATGATACCAGTCACACATGCTACTACAGTTTTCTTTGTGATTTCAGATAACTTCAACCATGTGATAGTTCGGTATTGTGTCAGCTTTGCTGGGCCAGGATTCTCAGTGATTTGGCAGTTAAGATGTAGTAATTTCCTATGATGTGACCTAACAGGATCTACTATTAGCACCCATTCGGTTTTAAGATTAGGGTGGGATGCAACATCTTTACTCAGATCACAGTCCTGATGTAATGAATCAAAATGAAGTTTCCTCAGAGTTGTGGTCAGCTTCCAATAAAAGGGGACACTGGAAAAACTTGGTTGCTTTTTATTGTCTGAGTCCTGCATCTGGTTCATCCATTTGCATCAACCATGTGCCGTATTGTCTGGAATCCTGAGAGTCATTGATGGACTGCCATCTGACCCACTGAACTTGGATTCATTTGCTTCCGCAGTGCCCAGCTTGTTCTCTTCCTACCAATCTTGCCTACCATCAGCCTCCACAGCTATGAGAGTCAGGAGAAGCCTCCTGACTCACAGAACTGGAACTTGACCTAACTTGCCCACTTCTACAACTGTGTGAGGAAATTTCTTGAAATAAATTTCTACATATTTTATATATAAGCTCCACTGGCTTTACTTCTCTGAAGAACCCAGCCTAAGACAAACCACATCACGATAATCTATAAATTGGGGCCCCTTTTCATGGCCAACCTGGGCTGCACAATGGCTTCCTCCTCCTTAATTTTCCTGGCCTATCTTTAATTTTCTCCTCTGTGTTTTGTTCTTATCTTTCTTCTCTCATTAATTTCCCCCTCTCTTTTGTTCTCATCCTTTCACAGATAAGGTGGTGGCATGGGAGCTAGGCAGGTGGCTGTCAGTGTAAACATAGGTGCATATTTATACAGCACTTCAGGATGTTGTCAAAGTAAGAATGCTATATTTATCATAGTATTTATATATTGCTATGTAAAACTATATAAAAAGATTTCTGGTGGTGTACTGTGCTACACACTGAACTGCTAACTGCAAGGTCAGTGGTTTGAATACACCAGTTTCTCTGCAGGATACAGATTAGGTTGTCTACTTATATAAAGATTTAAAGTCTTAGAAACCTGAAGGGGCAGTTCTACTCTGTTCTATAAGGTTGCTGTAAGTTGGAATTGGCTTGATGGTACTGAGGTTTTTTGTTTGTTTTTCAAAATATTTAACATGTACAATGCTACACTACTATTTCATTAGGTTTTTATATTTTAACATGTTATTGACAGTTTTTAAGTCCTATGTCAGTAACCTTATCATCCCATAAGCTCTGTAGTTTTTATTTTTAAGAAATATGAAAATATCTTCCATAAGTTTATGGAAATGCATAGTATGGAAATATAATGCATGGCTTTACATTTTTTTCACACCCAAATAAGCTCATACTACATTGTTTTAATATGTCCAAATAGGACCTAGTTTGAAGCTCTAAGAAGGATAAGATATTTCTTTGAAAAGAGCTCAGAACAGAGCAACATAAATTCTACAAAAATTCAAGGAATAATAAATATCAAATTTATGGTGAAACTTGAGTACGAGAATGGTAAAATCATTGATGCTTGATGAAAAGTTTATGAGGACAATAACACAAAGAAATCGGCAGCTTATAAATGGATAATTCATCTGAAGAAAGATGAGATGATGTTGGATATAAAGTCTGAAATGGCAGACCTTCTGCATCAATTTTCAAGGAAAAAATTAATCTTGTACATGCCTTAATGGAAGGGAACCAATGATTGACAGCAGAAAAAATGACTAACACCATAGACATATCAACTAGTTCAGCTTACACAATTCCAACTGAAAAATTAAATTTGAACAAACTTTCTATTCAATGGGTGCCCAAAGCGTTATACCCAGATCAGTTGCAGACAAGAGCAGAGTCGTCAATGGGAATTTTAATTAAAATGAATGCATCGGAGATCTTGAAGCATTTATGAAAAGAATTGTAACGGGATGAAACATGGTATACCAGTATGATCGTATAGATCATAGGTTCCTAAATTTATTTTGCCTTTTGGGGAAAAATATTATGCAGTGCCTCCCTGGAAATAAAAACAATTTTTTACTATAGCATATAATCCAGGAAAGTATAGGTATCGGTTTTGCAGTCCCTGTGGATTTTTCTAATGCCCCAAGGAAGCAGTGCTACCCACTTTCGGAAGCACTGTTTTAGACCAAGCACAATCAAAGTAGGAGCTACCAAAAGGTAGAAGGGATCCAGTCAAAGTAAAAGTGGCCAAAAACAAAGGTCATGGCAACAGATTTTTTGTTAAATAATCAAGGCATTTTGTTTGTTGACTTTCTGTGGGGAAAAAGAGCAACAATGTTTACTTTTTATGAGAGTATTTTGAGAAAGTTAGCCAAAACCTGAGCACAAAAATAACCTGGAAAGCTCCATTAGAAAGTCCTCCTCCGTCTCTAAAATGTTCCTACTCATTCCTTTGATCAAACAAGGGCAAGTTGGTGAGTGCTTATGGTGAATCAGTAAGCATCTATCCATCTTACAGCACTGATTTGGCGCCTTCTGACATTTGTTTCTTGGTTTAAAAAAAAATCTCTAATGATCTCTAAGAAAAAATATCCCATTTTTCTTCAGTCATTAATGTTAAAAAGATTGCACTGGAGTAGTTAAATTTCTAGTACAATTAGTTCTTTCGGAATGAACTAAATGACTGGTGGTATCATCACTTACAAAAGTGTCTTGAATATGACATTGAATATGATGATGAGCTGTGCTGAAAAATAAACTTTCTATTTTTGTTTTCATTCCATTTTCTATGAACTTCTTAAAGTCCTATATACACATGTTGCACTGCAATAGAATTAAATGTACTCTATACTTATAAAACTTTTTGAAATTCAAAGTGCTTTTGAGATTTCTTCTTCACTGAAACAAGAAAAAAATTTCTTACCTTTTAAACAGAGAAATGGAAGGAGTTAAAAACCACACTTGGGCTAATCAATTTTTAGTAATAAAGCCAAGAAATTGAGAGAGAAAGAAAAAGAAAAACAAATATATCAAAATTTTCTAACTCTGAACCTAATTTCCTCAGTGAACCCTGGTGGTACAATGGTTATGTTTTAGACTGCACATGGTTGGCAGTTCAAAACCACCACCAACTCTGTGGGAGAAAGACTTGGCTTTCTATTTCCATAGATAATTGGGGATGTAAGGGGTTATGGTTGAGCTGCTAATCTTAAACTTAGCAGTTCAAAACCATCAGCAGCTCTGCAGGAGAAAGATGAGGCTTTCTACTCTTGTAAAGATTTACAGTGTTGGAAGCCCACAAGGGCAGTTCTACTCTGTCCTATGGGGTTGTTATAAGTCACAGTTGATTCAAAGGCAGTGAGGTTTTTTTCAGTATTAGAAAAAACTTTCAGCAGCTTATTACCTGTTCTGCATTGGCACAAAAGATCCCATCAAGTATAAAGTATGTCCAGAACAATGGCCATTCGCACTCAATGTTTTCAAATAACTTCAGCTCCGCTGGTTCATAGTACAGTCGACTGGGATCCTGGGGGTGGGGTGGGGGGACAAACATACAAACAGGAAATAACAAAACCACTTACTTGGAGCCACTCTTAATCCCTTTCTCAAGACAAGCTTTTAAAGTTGTGAATAGATTGTAGCAACCTGAGTTCCAAATCTCCCCTCTTAGAAAAGACACCTTAATCATAAACGGACAGAAAAAATCCCAGAAAAAAGGGGGAAAAGCCATGGATGTTATTCCATCCTGACAAGACACTGCTGCCAGGAACCAGGTGCTCCAGACCATTGTGGTGAGTGAAGAGCACACTCCCTTCTCTCCTGTCGCTGATCAACACCACTCTGTCAGCATTATGGGAGAGAGATTGAGTGAGAATTTGGCCAGGTGCATACACACACCTCTAAGGTGAGGGGCGCAAAGGGTCCCAATTTGCTCAATGTATGTCAGCCGGACTGGGGAGACTTGGATCTTGGGTTAGTCCGGGTTGACTAGAGAAACAAATCTAGTGACACGCATGTGTATAAGAAAGAGCTTTATATAAAGAGTAATTGCATATTAAGAAAACATCCCAGCCCAGTCCAGATCAAAACCGTAAGTCCGATATTAGCCCATTTGTCCAATACCAGTCTATAAATTCCTCTTCAGACTCACACAGCCATGCATTAATGGTGAATGCAGGAAGATCACAGACCAGTGGGTGGAAAGTCTTGTGGATCCACTGGTGGTGGAGGCATCTCCGCGCTGGGGTGGATATCCATGTGGCTCCTCCAGCTCCAAGGCTCTGGCTCCATCAGCGCAGCTCCATATGTCTTGTCAGCAGGAAGACGAAGCAGAAAGTATGGGTCTGGCCTCCAGAGAGCTATTTATCTCCATAGCACCTCCAAATGAGATCATCAAGGCTAAACTCGACCCCTTTACTCTTAATAGTCTCAAATTGATACCAGACGATGTAACTACCACTGATCTGCAGTGGACTGGCTCCCAGCATCTGGCTGGACCTCTTGGGTCTGGATTGTGGCAGAATTTCCCCGGCGCATTGGGAGGACTTAATATCAATTTTGTATAGACTATTCTACAGTATACAAATTGACAATATACTGCAAACTCATTTAATGAAGCAACTATAACTCTGATACCTAAACCAGGCAAAAACATCACCAGAATTGAAAATTACAAACTAATATCTCTAATGAATATAGATGCCCAGATTTTCAATAAAATTCTCACCAACGGAATTCAACAAAGCATCAAAACTAAACTAGAATAAAACATGATGATCAAATGGCTTAATATTAGGGGAAAAATCAATATAACTCACCACATACAGAAAATAAAGGAGAAGAGCCATATGACTATATCAATCAATACAGAAAAAGGAATTTGGTAAAATTCAATGTACATTCCAGATAAAAACACTTATTATAGAAGGGAAATTTCTCAACAAAATTAAAGGAATATATATGAAACCAATGGCCTGCCTCTCACTTAATGGAGAGAAATTGAAAACATTTCCTCTTCAAATGGAAACTAGACAAGGTTGGGCTTTGTTACCACATTTGTTTAATATAGTCCTGGAAGTTTTCACTAGAGCTATAAGACATCAAAAAGGTATTAAATGTATCCACACAGGTAGAGAAGAAATAAAAATCTCTTTATTTGCAGATGGCATAATCCTATATTAAAAACCCAAAAGATTCAATTAAAAAATTGGTCAAAGTAATTGAAAAATTTGGCAACATAGCAGGCTATAAGATTAACATACAGAAATCAGTTAATTCTTGTATGTTGAAGATAATGATATTGAAAAAGATACTAAAAGAACAATACCACTTACAATAACTACCCAAAAGGTAAAATATTTAAGAATAAATGTGACCAGAGAAACAAAAGACATACAAGGAAAGCTGCAAAACAACTTTAAGAAACTAAAAGAAACTTACACAGATGGAACAAATTACCATGCTCCTAGACTAAATAACTGGGAGCTACTAAGTATACAACTTTTATGCACATTAAAAAGACTTCATCTATAAAATGATTTTTTTTAAAAAAAGACCTCATCAAAAGAATCAACAGATAACCTACAGGTAGGGAAAAAATATTTAGTAACAATACATCAGATAAAGGACAAATCTCCAAAATCTATATAAAACTAGCAACATCTTAACCAGAAAAATAACAATAACCCAATCAAGGCTGTCAACAACCATACGAAGAAATGCTCATGTTCATTGGAAATAAGGGAAATAGAAATGAAAACAACAGTGAGATACCACAGAATACTTACACTTACAGCAAAATTCAGTAAAACAGAAAATAGTAAATGTTGGATAAGATACGATCTCCTAAGCAATGAGGTAGAGAGCTACTTCTACAGAGAAAACCTCATGTTTTAGTCTGGGTTGACTAGAGAAACAAATCCAGAGACATTCATATGTGTATAAGTAAGAACTTTATATAAAAGAGCAATTGGATATTGGGAAAACATCCCAGCCCCATCTAGTTCAATTCCACAAGTCTGATATTAGCACTTAAGTCTGATACCAGTCTCTAAGTTTCTCTTCAGACTCACACAGCATATATAATGATGCTGAATGCAGGAAGATCACAGGCAAGGAGGTGGAAAGTCTTGTGGATCCAGTGGCAGTGGAAGCATCTCAGTGCTGGCGTGGGACTCTACGTGAGTCCTCCAGCCCTAAGACTCTAGTGTAGCTCCATGTGTCTTGTCAGCAGGAAGAAGTAGCAGAGAGTCTGGGTATATCTGACCTCCAGTGAGCTATTTATCTCTGTGGCGCCTCCAAATGAGGTCATCAAGCTGTGACCTGATTGACAGGCTAAACTCCACCCCTTCACAAGTTGACACCAGATTATGTAACTACCACACCTCACCTCCTCAATTTTTTCAAGATTTGGAGGGAGAGATCCTAGAGTTGTTCCCATACCGAATTTTACTAAAGTCACCCCAATCTAACAGACACTCCTACTACAGAGATGAGGGAATTTTACCGGAAATTCAAGTCACAATGCCGGGGAGAAATACATGTGTGTCTTGGAGAAGGTGATTTCTGTCCATTGGTAGGAAAACGGGGAGGTGCAATCTTCCATCAGGGCAAAAAAATGCCCAACACTACTGATAGTGATACTGATACTAAAGGAGAAAATATGCCTGGTACTAAATTCCTATTGGCCACTTCTGACTTCGTCTCCATGCAGACCTTGGTGACTTAGTCTGTGCTACAGACTACTGGGACATTCGGCTCTTTTCTTTCAAGGAGAATAACATCATTTATAGGCCACAAAAGAAGGACTAAATGTGGAAACCCCACTAAGGGAACTGGGCTTTACCTCCAAGTCACCTGCAGCCCTTGGACTTAAGGTTGAAACTCCCTAGTGTGAGAAGAAGCAGATGATGGCTATCCCAAAGATATAAAACTGGACCGGCAGACACTGGACTTTGGTTTGAATCTCGTCCTTGAAGGTGCCCAATGAATGGTAGCCTGGAACTACTATATAGTTACTATTTTAATGCCCTTCTTCCTTCATTGTGATCTGTATTAATCCAGGAGGGGTGGCTCTGTCATAAAGAATGAATATTGTTAAGCTTTACCCTGTCACCAACCCCCATTGTTTGTGTAAATAGTGCCAGTAATTTGAGGGTTTAATCTGTACAAGTCAGCAATTCATGTATTGCAATTAATAATTTGCCTATACTGGTATAATTTCCATTTCTCAACAGTGTTTTAAATTCTAAACCATTGGGTAAATTAATAACACTATCTATGTGTAGTAGTTATACACTGGGCTGCTAACCTCAAGGTCAGCAGTTCCAAACCACCAGACATCTCTGGAGGAGATGAGGCTTTCTACCCCTGTAAAGATTTACAGTCTAATGAAACTCACAGGTGACAGTTATACCCACTTCATATAGTGTTACTATGCATTAACATTGACTCGATGGCAGAGGAAGTGATGCCCAGGGGGATGACAAATAATGTTCTCTAACAAAAAATGGCAGTGATGTTTCTAAGATTATATATATATATATATATAATAGGAATACTGACTAGAATCTTAAAGGCTCTGGAATCTTAAAGGCCTGTCTTAAAACAAGTAGCCATCCAAGTTAGGGGTCAACTATGTTCCCATTGAAGAAGCTTACCAACATGTGAGATCCAATGATTGTAAAGAATAAAACCCAGATCTGAAGGAGGGAATGGTATCAGAGCTTAAATTGTGAATACCTGGTTTGCCTAAGGATATGGATGATAGTGGAAGACCAAAATCCATTTATAGGGTCCACACATGGATTAAGCCTCTGGTTAATCCCCTGTGATCATAGTTGAGGGATGTGAATATCCTTGTTATCAGAGAGCATTGTGAAGTTGATTAGAGCAGAAATAGTTAGGTTAAGATGTAGTATCTTATCATTTGGTCTCCCTTTTGAGCCACTTTAAAGTTGCTTCAGTTGAAAAAAAATGAAAAGGGAAAAACATCTGGAGTAAGCCTCGAGTGAAGCTTCTCTGACCACAAACCAGGGATGTAAATAGCCTTGCTATCATGCAGAATGCATTGGAAAGTGGATTATTGCAAATGCAATTAGGCTAAAATTTAATACTTTATCATTCGATCTCCCTTGTGACACATTTAAAATTTGTTCTAGTTTTAATGTTTTCTACTTTATTTCAAATGAGGTTTTATCTGTTTTATTTTCTTATTATGTTAGTTTATTTTTAATGTTTTTCTTTTTGTGAAATCTAGGATAGGTACATCTATAGAGATAGTAACTGGAATAATGTTCCTTGGGGATTTAGCAGGGGAGTTTGGGGGGAATGGGGAGCTAATAATGATGAGTAAAATAATGAAGAAAATGTTTTAAAACTGATTGTGGTGATAATTATACAACTCTTCGTGATGTGATTGAACTATTGAATTGTATGATATATGGATAATATGCCAATAAGTAGTAAAAAAATGACAACTCTCTTGAACACCACAGACATGGGCAAAAGTAGAGAAGCAAACTTTGT